TCGATATTGGCATGTATCGGATCGAAACTTCATGGATTATGGCCCCTGTTTGTACGAAAAATAACGTTTTTAGCTTGTGGACCCTATAGAGGTCACAATTTTTATCCGATTTTGTTGAAACTTGAAATGTAAGTTTATAACCCAAAGATCTCAGTTCCTTTCGATATTCACGCATATCGGACTGTAACTTCCTGAATTATGGCCCCTGTTTGTACGAAAAATCGCGTTTTTAGCTTGTGGACCCTATAGAAGTCATAATTTTTATCCGATTTAAAAAAAACGTATTATTATATCACTGTTACACCCTAAGGATGACTGAGTTCGAATTTCGTGAAAATCGGCCCAAAATTGACAGACAAAATGGCCGCTGTTCGTTCTCAAATAGCGTAAAAATATGGTATATCAAGGTTGTGGACCCTATAGAGGTCACAATTTTTATCCGATTTTGTTGAACCTTGAAATGTAAGTTTATAACCCAAAGATCTTGGTTCCTGTCGATATTCGCGCATATCGGACTGTAACTTCCTGAATTATGGTCCCTGATTGTATGAAAAATTGCGTTTTTAGCTTGTGGACCCGATAGAGATCATAATTTTTATCCGATTTAAAAAAACGTATTATTATATCATCGTTATACACTAAGGATTTCTGAGTTTGAATTTTGTGAAAATCGACCTAAAATTGACAGACAAAATGGCTGCCGTTCGTTCTCAAATAGCGTAAAAATATGGTATATCACGGTTGTGGACCCTATAGAAGTCACAATTTTTATCCGATTTTGTTGAAACTTGAAATGTAAGTTTATAACCCCAAGATCTCAGTTCCTTTCGATATTCGCGCATATCGGACTGTAACTTCCTGAATTATGGCCCCTGTTTGTATGAAAAATCGCGATTTTAGCTTGTGGACCCTATAGAAGTCATAATTTTTATCCGATTTAAAAAAAACGTATTATTATATCACCGTTACACCCTAAGGACAAGTTCGAATTTCATGAAAATCAGCCCAAAACTGACAGAAAAAATGTCCGTCCTTCGATCTCATAAAGATTAAATCTATGGTATATCAAGATTGTGGACTCTATAGAGGTCACAATTTTTATACGCCTACATTGAAATGTGGTCGTATATTGTCGTCACCCCCGTCCGCCCATCTAGAGGCTAAAGTTAATATCTGATTGACTTTAAATTTATACACAGTGGTTAAGGTCTTGAGAGGAAGAATCCTAATGATTTTCAGCGATTTCCGATAATTACTGCCAGAGTTATGGCCCTTGATCACTTTGAAAAATCTTGTGGACGCTCTAGAGGCCAAAGTTAATATCCAATTGACCTTAAATTTATACACAGTGTTTGAGGTAATGAGGCGAAGAAGCCTATTGATTTTCAACGATTTCCGATAATTACTGCCAGAATTCTGGCCCTTGATCACTTCAAAAAATCTTGTGGATGCTCTAAAGGCCAAAGTTAATATCCAATTGACTTTAAATTTATACACAGTGTTTAAGGTCATGAGACGAAGAAGCCTATTGATTTTCAGCGATTTCCGATAATTACTGCCAGAGTTATGGCTCTTGATCACTTCAAAAAATCTTGTGGATGCTCTAGAAGCGAAAGTTAATATTCGATTGACTTTAAATTTATACACAGTGTTTAAGGTCATGAGACAAAGAAGCCTATTGATTTTCAGCGATTTCCAATATTTGCTGCCAGAGTTCTGGCCCTTGATCACTTTGAAAAATCTTGTGGACGCTCTAGGGGCCAAAGTTAATATCCGATTGACTTTCAATTTATACACAGTGTTAAGGTCATGAGACGAAGAAGCCTATTGATTTTCAGCGATTTCCGATAATTACTGCCAGAGTTATGGTCCTTGATCACTTCAAAAAATCTTGTGGATGCTCTCTAGAGGCTAAAGTTGATATCCGATTGAGGTTAAATTTATACACAGTGTTTGAGGTCATGAGACGAAAATTCCTATTGATTTTCAACGATTTCCGATAATTACTGCCAAAGTTATGGCCCTTGATCACTTTGCAAAATCTTGTGACGCTCTAAAGGCTAAAGTTATCATCCGATTGACTTCAGATTGATACACAGAGTTTAAGATCTTGAGACGAACAAGTATATTGATTTTCAATGAATTTTTATGACTTGAACAGTTAAATCCATGATATTAAAAGCTTTGCATACAAAACGTTAGCATGGGGCAGAACTTTATAAAAACCAAACAAATGCTAATAGTTTTCTGATAATTACTTCGTGAGTTGTTGCTCTTAATCAGATTTTAGTGTATTATGTATTGTTTAATGGTCGAGAGCGAGACATTAAGTAATATATTGTAACAACATGAGGTCCGCAGGCCCGAATGTTTTTACAATATATTACGCAATGTCGTAAGCTCGAGACCATTAAACATCTTAAAATACTGACACTCCGCACGAGCTTTTACGTCACACTAGTCCAATATCTCACTGGTATGAATAAAGTACTATTGGCAAGTTGCCCGTACGATTATTTGAGATAATGGTACGCCAACATCAAAGGGTGACGTCACATCTGTATTTTAAAAATGTTTAATTACCGATAAAAGTACCGATTTAGTTGCTGTGGGCGTATGTTTTGTTGCCTGGCAACCTATCTTTATCCGATTTTGTTGAAACTTGAAATGTAAGTTTATAACACAAAGATCTCAGTTCATTTCGATATTCGCGCATATCGAATTGTAATTTCCTGAATTATGGCCCTTGATTGTAGGAAAAATCACTTTCTTGTTAGCTTGTTCTCTATCCATCTCTCGAAAATGTGGGCGTATCCTGCCTGGCAGCCGCTGGTTTAATTAAATTATTAACTTGTGATCATGTTTAAATCCACTGAAAATCTCAACAATCCAATGATCTAGAGTTGATTATGCTCTTGGCATGTGAATAAATGTTTTATATAACATTTGAGGCCAAATGAAATAGGCAGATTTAGCTCTTACATATACATCATTAAGCTGTGACTAAGTATTATGTCTAAAGTCTAGCAAATTCAGGGGCAAATAACTTGTCTCACACTGATTCTCTATCAGTAAATATAATAATATATCAGATCTGAAACCCTCAGACTACGAAAGGTGTGATCAAAGGCCACTACCATGCATTCCGTCAACTAAATCGCAATACTCATTATTTTCACTTTTTAGACAATCGAGTCTACAATGCCTGTTAAATATACCCAAGGGACCCTCCATGTCTCATGGAACTTGCGTGTATAGCAATGGGATCTGTCAGTGTCTGGGAGCCCAAGTGGTTAAATGAGTAAGAATCCAGAAGGTCTTCGGTTTCAGGACAAGGAACAGTGTCTAGTTGTTCAGATTGAACAAAAAACTGGTGTGTACGTTAAAACATCTTTGACAATTGGAATTCAAAATAAAAGTAGGCGTAGTGCCTCTGTACAGGCAAAATTTTCCCAAATGTTTTGTGTCTAGGCCTTCGTTCTTCAGGTCATAACGCTTTGAATTGGACAGAATCAGAAATCTCCCATAGATCAGACATTTTACCTTTGAATAGTATTAGAAAATGTTACAGGTTGTTTCTTTTTTTTTTAAATTATTAAGGCCACACAAAATAAATGTCTTGTTTCTCGGGCAACTGACAGCTGAAACTGTAGGGAGGGAGGGCGGTTTCTTTTTTTTTTTTTACTCATTGATGGTGCAAAATAAAATTTGGCTATTGCTGAAAATTGTTGGGGCGGGAGGGCGGTCTTTCTTTTTTTTTTTTTTTTAAATGAGAAAGTCATTACTTGTTTACGTTTTTGCTTTCCGTTATATTCAACTTTATTGTACATACTGAAAACATAAACCCAAAATCAAGTCTACTAAAACACTGAGACTGAACACTGACTGAAAGGAAAATAATTTTCCATATTTAATTCACATAATTGAAATTGGTTTAAAATAAAATTCCATACGACTATGTAATAGCCCTCCATAAAGACAACAATATTTTTAAAAACTAAGCCTCTTTCACCAGGTGTATCAAAAATAATAATCATGGTAAACAGTATTTAAAACTAAATCTAGTATCGCCGGTTTATTTATAATTATTTACCGAATTCCAACCAATGCATGTCACACCGTGTCATCGGTATTGGAGATTGCCGGAAATACTGTTTCTTGGGATATTCGGTGTGTTTCTCAGGATATTCGGTGTTCTATCCGGTGTTTATATTATTGAATGACTATTTAAATCTAACTAACAACTGGTCAGTAAAACCATCAAATCGGTAATCCAATTATTATTTTCCGGATTATCGAAACTACCGTAAATGTGCTAATAATGACCCAGATTCTAAGGTATGCATTATGATGACTATCGTCATCGTATCGTATTCTTAGCTATAATTAATTAACCTGTTCTACGGTTCATTATTTTATCAATAGGATTTTCCAAACAAGGGCCGACTGAAGCCGGCAATAATGAGCCGATTACGATCGAATGATTGAAATATTGTCGCCTATGACTTTTAACACGAATCAAATTCTAGTTTATCAGGGGAGGTAATTAATATCACGTGATACAAAATGGAGGTTCTTTCGATATCAATAAAAAAGGCAAATCTGCCAAACTTCGCCATTGTTCGGATAAAAAAGACAGCATGTTCATCTGAATCAGTTTTAATACATTTGAATAGATATACATGTATGGCGGATGTAGGTACATGCGGGATATTTTTTTTACGACTTGCTTGTCGATGTGCGGGCGGGCGTTACATATTTATTTTTTTTCATCAAGACTAATAAATAGACTGCACGCGCAACCAATTTTGCGTGCGGGCGGTGCCCGAGAAACAAGTTATTTTATTTGTGTTGCCTAATATAGAGTGGTAGTGATTCAATGAATTCCCCTAGGACAATATACATAAAGAAGCCTCAAATAAAATTAACTTGAAACATTATCAACAGCAACATTTTACTTACAGGTATATCACAAATACATTTACATTAATATCTAAAAATGTGTGTTATCTATTTATTTACATATCTTTACATATATATTACACAACAGAGTCCTGACAAAATACATGAGATAAAAGAAAAAGAAAATACAGGTTTCAAGACTCCATTTATACATCTTCTGAATATAAAATTAGCACTGTGTAAATTTTGTTTACATGGAAAAAAAAAGAATAAGAAAAAAAAAGAAAGAATTAAAATCATTAAATTAATTGACTGATTTTTCCCTATAAAAATAGTGATTCTTTAACAACTGTCACTTATATTAAGAGTAAATAACAAATCCATTGTAAATACGGGAAAATTTAAAAGATATTTACCCATGCATGATGTGTTTAAAACCAGACTAATATTAAAGCCCCAACATGCTATAACAAAAGTTTTAAAGACGAAAGGAATCACCTTTTTGATCTAATTTCTGATTAAATAGGTAGTAAAATGGAACTATCAAGATATTGTGAACTACCAAGATAAATAAATAAGATGTAGATCATGTGAAATTAATATACTAAAAAAACATGAAAGTGCAGTTTTCAAATATTCAGTGTAAAGAATTTCTGTCTGATGCATTTAGTGAGTCAAAGTAGAGATTGGTATTTATAACCATGGTGTGGCATATTGTAGCAAAACTACACATAAAACTTTTACAAAATATAACGGACATTGATAAAGACTGCAAAATTATACAAAAATTCATGATGACCAAATGTGTTAGAAACAAGCATAACTGAGTCACATACCTTACAAAGTTAAAAAAAAATTTGCCCAAATCATAAGAATCACACACAATTAAGAGTTAAAGAGACAAACTTTATCTTTATTGTTTGTCTATTAAGCCTGCAGTAAATCATATCTTTACAAATTTGAGCGAATTTGTACATCATTATCAATTCAGTTATTCATACCATACCCAAAAAAATTATGTCATAACATAAAACAGAAGGTCTAATAAAAAAAATTATTAAGTTGTGTTTGGTTTATAAAATGATTCTGTTAGCTACATTCCAATCTAACACTTAATGGACAAAATGATTATTAGTGGAACTCACATTAATAATAGTATTGTTCAATATATATCAAAGTAAAGAACATTATGAGGTATTTGTAAATCAAGGTGCTACAATTTTACCTCGATATTTACCTTATTTACGCAGATAACTAATTTAGCATCAAAGATGCATTATGTAATGGTAAAATCTGCCTATTGCGGGTCTTTTTTCTAACTTGAAATGTTATTTAAATTATCATTTAGACATTACAAGCCCATAATCAACACTCTTATCACAGCAATGACAACAGAGACTATGCTAGCCTTGTCAAAACTTTAAACATTCATAACTTCAATATATTTATTTCGGATTAACTATCAGTAAACTATTATAGCAAGAGCTTACATAATGCATCTTTAATTTCTTTTTAATACCTTGTATCTGTTTAATTTCTATTTTCAAATATATTCAGTGCAGGAACAATATTCCAAAAACTGGTAGCATCACTCTTAGATCTTGGAGACAATAAAGTTATATTTCTTGATGAAAAATTTCCTCAAATTGTATTTCTTGTTTGGAAAACCAGATGGTCCATGTCTTACTTGGCGCGGTCAGTATTTTATCCAGCACAGAAAGCCAAAAAGAGAAGTAGAAGTTTTATACACTTTTAATAACGTCTATAAGGTTGGGAGGGTTGAGGCATACCCATAGAGTTAGATACAGGATAGGGGGCAGAACCACCGGAGAATGACGACCTCCCATAATTTGAAACTGGTGTGTTGCTCGAATAATTATTTTCACTGATAGATGATGGGTTTCGAATTATTTCTGCCATTTTCTCTGCTTTTATCCTCTTCGTGTGTGCCTCACTTCTCAATTTTATATACTGAGTCAAAAATTCATTTACATCACATTTTTCTGAACAAAAGTCAGAGGCAAGATCCTGAAAATAAATTTTAAAAAATTAATTCTTAATAAATATTCAACCCCATACTCAATTTTAAATTCAAAGGCATGAGGACTTTAAAACCAAAGTATAAATGAATTTTATTATGATTAACTTGACTGTATTTATGCCATAAACAATTAAAAATAACTTGTAATTATATTCAGGAAAATACATGCATACTTATTCAGAATAGGATTGTTTGTTTTAATAATTCCAATTTCCAAGAGTAGAACACACCAAGGATTGTGTCAAGCAAGATCAAATCATCAACAAATATTAGGAACAAGAGCAGATCGGTGGGTTGGGTTAGGCTATAACAATTAAAGAAAATATTTACATTTGCCAGTTCTAAGATACTGTCCAAGCAACTGGCAAATATGGTGATATAAATGTACTTGGACTAAATGAAAAATCCAAATAGATTTATCTATTAAGATTTCACTACAAAATTTAAGTGGAAGAAAACTATCCCATGAAGCGAGAATCTGTTTTAATCAGCTGTGTTATTCACACACGACCTGAATGAGGCAGAATCCAAATTAGCTTGCATTTGTTGTTAGTCGATGTCCACTCGATGGTTAAAATCTATATCTACATGATTTATACTGTACATAAACCCATTCACACACAAGCACTACCAAACCAATATACCGGCGAAATCTGCCCTTTCAAGTGCATCATCCCACCCTCCCTTATGGGACTGATCAACTTGATTTGAAAAAATGTCAATAAGTAGCTAGAGAAGAAGTAAAAAATATAAAAAAAGATTGACTATAAACAGACAGTAAGCGAGCACAGGGGTATATGAAAGGTGTAATTAGACTTGATCAAGTTAGGGGTGATCAGTTTGTAGATCTCTGTTGGTCAGACAATTAATCTCAATGTATATAGATCATGGTTTTAATAGTACAATAAATGTTTATATACATCAAGCAAGTTTTCAGTAACATGTGTTTGTCTGATCAGTGGTGGTGACTAGACAGGATAATATAATTTTCATACCCTGCTCAGAATTGGATGACTTGAGAATGATAAACTTTATCTGCAATGAATCATGAAAAAAAAATGCTAACTTTACCTCTGTTAATTCTTCTGATTTAGCTGCTTCGGTTTGTAAAACAGCTAGTAGTGTATCCATGGACTGTTGACCAGTATGGACATCTTTTTAAAAAAAATATTTAAAAAAAAATAGCTGTTAATGTACTGGTATCATAATTGGATTTGATCACATATCGGTATCAAAAATAGCTGTTAATGTACTCGTATATAATTATATCACAAGTGGATTTGATCACATATCAGTATCGATTCAATATATCAATAATATCTCCATCTTATGTTTAATCCTTTCTATCCCAAGAAAATGTCTCCACTTGCCATTTTAAGTTGTGCTTATCAAAAGATTTTATCAAACACTTACATGTACATGTGTAATGCCTCCTTGTATATATCATCTGCAGAGGATGCTCAAGGTTGCAAAATGTTCAATTCATCTTAAATGATTGTAAATACTAACTGGAATTCAACTTCAACAATATTGCAGTTTGTTTGGGATTTGAAAATCCGTCAAATAACAATCAGTGGCTTTAACCTGTTGTAACTTACCTAATTTAGCAATATCTTGTGCTAATTCTGTCTTTAAAGAATTCAGTTGTTCATAGCCCGTTGCTACTTGGCGTTTTAATGCTTCAAATTGCGGTTGTAGTGAAAGATTATAATCTGCTAAACTTTTATTACTAGCCAACAATATCTCTCGTTGAGTAGTAATATTGTCAACCTGAAACAATTAAAGACTTATATTTTGCTATAAATCATAAGATATTCAAAGGCTTAATAAAGCCTTGATATAATAGATGATTAACAAAGATCTCAATTTTTAACTCTTAAAAATACCGGTAGGCTACATACATGAATTATGTCCTGCAAAAACTAATTTGGGTCAAACATAAAATTTTAATTTCATTGGATTAATAAATGTGGATTTGTTTAGGAGGTTTATCTCCATTAAGCTAACTCATACATTCAAAAACTATCTAAACTTAAAAGTCCACCTAGCTGTTAAAAAGATTTCCGATTTTGCATTTATAAACAAACTCAATCAAAGACGGCAGTGTGAATTCAATAGAAACTAATGGAAACTACAATTAGAAATATTAGAATTTGTGGATTTGAACACATTTAGAGTTAGACCAATAAAATCTTTTTGTAAGTGTTCTTGTGAATTTGATTGTGCATTAATATTTGAATTAATTTTGGAGCGATAGGATTACTAATAGGTTTAGAATACATTTTTTTTTGCAAACAAACCTTTTTATCTAGTAATTTTATTGTATATGAAATATTTCAAAAGAAAAATCTAAATTTGCTCCTTAACAATTCTACTGTCCCATTTGCTATTGACCCAATCTCCATCCTTAGTGATTTGAGCAATGTCAATTGAAGAAACTCTAATAATAATAATAATAACTGCACCTAAGCAACTTTTATACAATCTAATTTCAGAATCTGTCATATTGGGTGCAGTCTTTTCATGTAAAATAATACACAAAGAAATAATGCATCAATAAATTTATAACTTTCTAACTACAGGCTAGCGTACATATTTAATGTAACGTAAAAAGTGTATGAGAGCCCTGAGATGTTATCTAAATAATAAATTGTACCTGTTTTAATTTATTAACGATATCATCTAATTTTCCATCAGTTTCCAATATAAGCTGTAATTCAGTCATACTTAAATTCTGAATAGAAGCTACTGCTTCTGCCTCGTCCATTTGAAGACCAGAAGAACCACTACCAGCTTGCCCACCATACCCCATGCCATAATTGTTTGTATACATCTTGGTGTTATTGTTACTACAGTCAAGTTGAATTGCTATTTCTAGAAATTCTTTTTCTGTAAAATCAAAGTCAAATAATGATGAAAATGAAAAAGTTCAAATAACATAACCTTGAAAATGATGATCATTCTTTATGGAGTAAGATTCATGCCCAGAGAGAGAGAGAGAGAGAGGGGGGGGGGGTGTAACACAAACTAGGTCATTTTGGGACTAACATATGGTTCAATTTTATTTCAATAATTTGCATGCTCGTAGGGGGTCTTAAGCAGTGGGAACGAAACCAGAGGACCCAGAGAAAACCCACGAGGTTGGACAGGCGACCCAACTCCTTTTCACAATATGCTTAATACTTCAATACTTGTAACATCCTACTGACACAGTAAATTTACTATACAAATGCAATTATGACAATTTGTTCAACCTTTTTCAATATTGCAGTTTGAATTTGTATTTTGTTTATTACTTTTAATTTACTTTCATAGTTGTAGACAAAAATGTTACAAAATGCAGTGAGGAGAGCAACATCATTTTAACTCTCAATTTGGCAACATATGGCCATGTAAACTTTACACACTTTTCATAACCCGACAACACAGGAGTTTTGTGATGGGGGCCTGGTCTTTATAGCCAATTATTTTCTCTTTTCTCAAGCTCTGCTAACGATCTAGTTATATATGTGACTAATTTTGTGACCAGATTGGTTAGATGTGGTTCCCCTTATGTCTACTCCCTATCCCTCTAGAGCTGATCTTGTTGAAAGGAGCAGCCTACTCAACAAAGACACACCACTGAAGAATAACAGACATACTCGTCCAGCTAAATTAACGGACTACACAAAAGAGAGACAAATACCATTCGCCTTCTATTTCCGATTACTGAGACACTCTAATCCAAATCTCAACAGCCACACTCACATGAAACAATTTGGTACGAACCCTTTCCATAAATGAATAACATTGTATTATTACAAGCTTATAACCTTTACCACACCATGGAGTCAAGGACAAAATCTAAACTAAATAAATTTAAAGCGGAAATTGCAAATTTTTAAGTTATATTTTTAAAATTTATTGAAATAAAGCCTGAAAATAGATGGTATCCATAAACAGTCCTACCTTGTTAAAGAATAATCCTATTAATCCTATAATTCACTATTGCCAGCTGAGAAATTGGCAAAAATATCATTTTCCTCTTCATTTTCAAACGTTTGAAAAATGCTACTCCATGGTGGAGAATAGAAAGCAAGGGAGGTAATTGGGAGGTAATTGTGTTATTATTTCCTGTGTAAATGAGTTGTAAGTGTGAGAATGACACTTATGATCGTATAATTGTGAGTTGACAACCTATTGAGCAAAAGACATTGAAATAATTACGTTTTGTCTTTCTTAGAAAATTTGCAATTTCCACTTTAAGCCTGTTTGTTCAAAATCTTACACACTACAGCCAGGTCATATTCATTTTTAAAATGATGGTGATAGGCTAATTTTAAAGTAGCTATGGCTACTCTAACTCAATATCACCCGAAGTCTTTGACATTGAAAATACGAATCATTTGTCAATTTAAATCAACATTGTGTTGTGATCTTATTGGGGTCAGACAAAATAAATATTTCACTATTGGTACACGAATCATGTACCATAATCATAATGCGATTCTGCGCCATTTGTAACAAGGGACTCGAAGAACGAGGCTATAGACATATTCCACAAGTAATGTCAAATGGTGACGCCATATTGTTATCTGTAGAGCATGCTCAACAAATACTATTGGTATAGACTGGAATAACCAGCCGCTAGACTGCCATTCGATTGAGTTGAGACTTCTTGCGTATTTCGCCGAACATGACAAATTTGAAATTAGAATAAAAACGGGAACGATTTAATGTAAATCAGTTTATATACTCATATTACATTATTATTTATATGCGTATCGACCCATTTGAAAGTGGGCATTTGACTGAAAAAATTTTTTGGTGTCAAATTTCTTGGCTCCCCGATATATTAGTGATTTAGCTCCTTTAAAGATAAATAATAAACACAAAGAATAACAGGGTTAAACTAATGAAGAGAAGCCATACACTTTTCTGCTCACCAATACGTTCCCCTTCGTATGACTCAGTGTCGTTTTCGGAATGTCATTACAAAATTACATCAAAATCAAAAATAAACAACAAATTTCTCATTTCCTCATTGACAGTGTCCTCTTGTGACACCAGGGGAAGATAATTCTCAATACAAATTATGTAAAGGGAGGTAAATCCATATAAATTCTGTATCGTGAAATTATGGTATCAGACCATAAAATTTATACCCAGATTTCTGAGACTGACCTGCACCCACTGTCTTGAAATAAAAAGAGGTCGATATTGCAGCATTCCTGGGGACAAAAGACGTAAAAATAAAAACCAAAGTGAATGCCATTTCTTCATGGATTGTAAATGGCGATTTAAGACTAACTTGTATACACTACACTTCACAGTTGTTCTTTCTATTCCTAGTTTTACTTTAGCAACATGTTCAACCACCCAATGCAGCATACATGCGGAGAAAAGACGTACCCCCCCCCCCCAAGTGAATGTCATTTCCTCATGGATTGTAAATAACGATCTTAGACTAAAATATATAATCTACACTTCACCACAGTTATGCTTCCTATTCTATTCCTTTTACTTTAGCAACAAATGTTCAACCATCCAGACGAACTAGCCAATGGGATATGCACTTTTATATACGATGCTTTCCGAAACGAACACGGATACCACGACCAAATGAATTCACAATTATTTTCATTTTATTCTTTTTGTGTCATATCTCTTTATTTCTTATTTACTACATTTTCTGTATTGTACTTTTTTAAAATATTGTATGCTGCCTCTTGTAGGCGTTTTGATGCAATGAGATTTATCTTAGCATGTCGGAACTCCACCAGTTTTGAACTTGCAGAACACAAAAGCTGCTTTCGTAAAACAAGACAATTTCTAACCCTTTATAATCCGCCTGACATACTGCATGAGCTCACATTGCAATAAATCCTTCATACTAAAGATAACTAGAAACACGCAGTAAAATGCAGTAAAGAACCAATGGAATGACAGTTTTCGTCCGAATTACGGACGAAAATCAACTTTAATAAACGTATCATACAAAATATCTGAAATTTGGTTCTTCTCATCGTATATGGACATGACTTAATTCGACAATATCGGATGTGAAGAAAGGAACTATTTTTAAAGTGAGTATTCTATCTAACCATAAAATATATGCTATCCACAGTCGACAGAATCAAAGCTAGTAATGGCAAAGGAATCCTTCTTGCAAACAGTTCTCAAGAACAAAAGCGGCCTTGTTAAACTTGTCAAAGATTGCTCCTTTTTCGGAACGAATGTACAGATATGAAACTTGAACAGAATAAAAGGCGAGACAGGGAGCACAGCTGCTTCCCTTCCCTGGTGTATATAATCATGTTTTATAGATTGAACAAGAACTGTGAATAACGCCTTGATTTTATCACATCGACATTTTAAAACATGTTTTTAGGAAGAGCATTTTATATGCATACCGTGTATTTACTCCACTATCTGAGGAGCTGTTCCATAATCGGAAAGACGTACATACAGAAGAAGAGGAGTTCTACTGGAACTTTAGGCCACACAAAATAAATGTCTTGTTTCTCGGGCAACTGACAGCTGAAACTGTAGGGAGGGAGGGCGGTTTCTTTTTTTTTTTTACTCATTGATGGTGCAAAATAAAATTTGGCTATTGCTGAAAATTGTTGGGGCGGGAGGGCGGTCTTTCTTTTTTTTTTTTTTAAATGAGAAAGTCATTACTTGTTTACGTTTTTGCTTTCCGTTATATTCAACTTTATTGTACATACTTAAAACATAAACCCAAAATCAAGTCTACTAAAACACTGAGACTGAACACTGACTGAAAGGAAAATAATTTTCCATATTTAATTCACATAATTGAAATTGGTTTAAAATAAAATTCCATACGACTATGTAATAGCCCTCCATAAAGACAACAATATTTTTAAAAACTAAGCCTCTTTCACCAGGTGTATCAAAAATAATGAAAACGATATCTGTATGTGTATCGAAACGTAGCATGTTAATAAATTCAGAAGTAGTATATCCATATAAGTGTGTTTTATTTTTAGTGAAATCTATTTCTATATGTCTTATAAGGATTAGGAAACCATATTGTATAAATACACTTAATTAAATCATGCGGACAATTTTCCAACTTCCGAAGACGACGTTTGATGAATACAAACTAACTTAATTTTGCAAATTATATCTTGAAAATAAAATATATTCAATGTTTTACATTTTACACAAATGTTACGCCAAATAGGGACTACAATAAAACGTGCGCCTTCAATTCCTAAGGGGGCACGGCATAAGTTAGAATTGCTCTTCCAAAGTTTCCGAGATTGTTTAACTTTTTCTCTTTTTTGCACACTTCCTGCGCATATTTGAACTCTATAAAATTCAGCATCCTGCATCAATTATTTCAAGTGGTATTGACGTTCTGATAGAAAACTAACCTCTCTACAGATAAGAATTTATAAACTTGCTTGTATTGTTTGACTATAGACACAAGGACACACTTTTTTAGATTTTGTGATGAATTTTCGGGAATTGTTTGGTTATTTATAAGAATGAAGCCTATTGAAATTCAGGGTTCTCCTGTCAATTATTTTTGGAGCTATGGTCCAAAACCATGTAACCAAAGTCAGATTTCCTGAGATGTCGATTCAAACTTGCCGGAAATCTGGAGATACTTCAGACATTAAAATAGGGATCACAACCTTTGTATATGGAAAACTTATAATTTAAAAAAAAATAGAATGACAAATCTTGAGGTGGGCATTTGTTTCATTGCCTGGCAACCTATGATTGGCACATTTCAACTTTGAATAAATCTCTTCCCCTCCTGCTCTTTCGAAATACATTTAGTTATTAGAAAATAAAGAAGTAGCATGGATTATGGAATGTCCTTGAATGGTTGCAGTTGATAACTTCTTTTATTTATTTAATTTCTTTAATATTTTATGTCATAATTTTTAGAGCCCTCTTGGATAACATGTTTTTAAGTCGGATTAACACTTTTAATACACTATGTGTTTGTATTTTACTCGTGCCTAGACTTTTCAATTAGAAGCTATTTCAGAAACAATACATTCTCTTTTTTTAGGACAAACGATGAATGAAATAAAACAGATGTCTCAATGATTCGATATTCACATTATATCCCCCGCTTTCTGCGATATCCAATAGAATATTTACCATGAAAGACGTCACGTGATACAAATTGAATATATTACGGTAATATCCATAGAGAGGTGAAGAAAATAGTTCCAAAAATAACTAGGTCATTGTTTTTTTTGTAATTGATCGGTAAAACGTAGAATACATAAACATATTAGATTTCGTTTCTATAATATTTTCAATTATTTTCTTAGATGAGACAGTTTTCAAGAATTCGTGGGCCCAATGACAGTGCGTAGTGATATTATTTAAGTGAGCTACACGTCTTGGAATGGCTTACAGCAACCGCAAAATGTAACGGTATCGAGTTAAAACGTACGGATAAAATGGTAAAAATCGGTGGACATTATGTGTCATATTATTATGACGGATTAGCAGTATATATTTAAACATATTTTCTAATGGATGTAAATGGAATAATGCCGAAGAGTGGGATAATAACGCTGTTGGCGGCGTTTGTTTGTGTGTCAGTTGGTAAGTGTCTGCTAAATACATTACCAGTATAGCAGTCTATAGTCTCTTAGTATTGATCTCAAACTGTCATCTATTGCACGATAAACTCCCAACAACTTTTACTTATCTTATCTAGAACTATGTAATAGATATCCATAAAAACATGTATTATATTGATATTACACGATATATTGTTGTAAACGTTGCATATGCCTGTTGTAGTATGAAATATGATACCTGTCTTTTAGGTGATGAATTTTTCAGACACGATTGTTTACTTCGTGGAGTGTGGAATATAAGCTATATATCACATAGTTATATCTACCATGCCTTTTAGAAAAGTAAAATACTGTCTAATATTCCACCAGATTTCTAGAAACAGGGGCTAGATAATAAAGATATCTTTTAATGTTATTTTTATTTAGCAGTATTATTAGTCAAATTAAATTTCCATGTAAATGACTGATAGGTCAAATTTTATTACTACCATTTTAGCAGTGATAATTAGTTTTAAGTCATAAATAATATAGGATTATCTGGGGCATTTTGGACATAAAAAGGTTACAAGTTTCTTTCAAATATATTTTTTTTAATATAAATACATGTGTTATACATAGTTCAAAGTTTTTATGTATATTCATGTAAACTTCCAGAAATACAAAGATTACAGAATGATTGTTCTTTGTGTTCACAATTTCAAGTTGCATTCATGTACATATAGGTCTACAGGCTGTTAATACACATTCTAACCTACATCACCAATTTATATTAATCTGTACAGTGCATTTTGCCAATACACATATAATTGGAGTATTATAATATAATATGGTACACAAGATGTAAATACACAAACTAAATACAGATTCAATATATATTAGTGTGTATATGCAGTACACAAATTGTAAATACACATAATACAGTCAATGTATATTAGTGTATAAACTATAATACAGTACACAAAATGTAAACACATAATATATACAGAGTCAATGTATATTAGTGTATAAACTATAATACAGTACACAAAATGTAAATCTACATAATATATACATGGTCAATGTACATTGGTCTATAATCATTGCAATATCATTTTGGCATATATTCCTAAAACAGCTATGTCTTGTTTGGAAGTGTACATGTATCTCTATACAACTGCACTTTTTATTAGACCTGCATGTCAACATTAGATTTTTTGATGTCCTAAAAGATGTCAGCAAGGTGATCGTCTAATCATCCGTGCACCTGGTGCTATTACCTGTTATATGTTTGTGTATGGACCATCGATGTTATGCAAACAGGCAACATTGTCGTGATATGATATTATACATATGTAAAGTTCTAAGAGACCTTCACAAAGTTTCAACACTGGCATCCAAACGAATAACCAGTAGAACTAGGTGGGTGGGTTGAATGACGCTGCAGATAGAAAATGGTAAATTTTGTCTGAAAACTTGCATTAAAGTCCATCTTTGTTAACATTTTTTTTATTGTATCAGTGTGTTTGGATTGGTGGGTTGAGAATCAAGATCTATCTGTGGGTGTTTTGGTTATGTTTTGCAATCAAAATCATTTTAATCTAAAATCATTGGATTGACCATATTTTAAATGATTCAAAGCATTTTCCATTTTTGATTGTCCATTTTCCATTCTTATTATTATGTGATTAAACAGTATGCAAAATTTCTTATCGTTTCCAAATCTTTATGAATACATCCCTACATGATCAGGCTAGAAGTGAACCCTCTGACGTCTGTAATTAGTCATAATGTGTTATGTGCACTGGAATATATGTGCGGTTCTCAGAATAATATATCAGTTATTTATAAGTTTGTTAACACAAATTAGCTGGATCAGCTTTTTTGGCAGAATTCAATTCTGTAGGTAAACAGACACCTAATTGTATTCTGTCAGAATCTACATAAACATACATAACATGCATAATAATATTGTCTTACTGATATTTGCAAGTAGATTTTAGCATAAGAACATAGTAATTATGGATTGTTCAATTTCTAGGATTATTTATTGGCTGGTTTAATGTGTGTTTCCATCTTTTTATTCATGCCAATAATTACATCTGGTTGCGTAATCAGAAGGGAATCGTCACATAAATCTACAAGTCAAAGAAGTCAAATTAATCAACCAAGAATTAGGATTATCCATGATTTGGTTTTTAAGCATGAATAAAAGTTTGACGTCTTGAATTGTGAATAATAAAATAATGTAAACAGGTTATAGTTTAAATTTGAATTTGATGTAGAGAGTTTTTATTTGATATGTTTTTAAGGAGATGATATATAACAACAAATTTCATTGTAAAAGATGGTTATAAATTCTTGTAATAGTTAACACAGATAGTGAGATGTAAATGTAATGTGCTGTATTTTATAAGATGATAATAGGTCAGATTGGGGTCATCGTCTATATAAAAGTTTTATTAGGACAGTAACAACTAGTCTATGAACCATGGTTTATATAGTTTACAAGTATTATCATTCCTTTTGTCAGCCCCTTATACATAGCTTTACTCTTCTTTGATAGTGCGAGCCAAGTTTAATATTAGCAAGGGTTTACATTTAAGCCATGTTTGCAAAGATACTAGAAAGATTTCAATTGCCTTTTTGGAGAAGTTACCATTGCCGTTTGTCAACTGGAGAAAGTTTGTGAACAGCTTTCACTCCATACAAATACACTGTAAAATGGATTAAAATTTACTTGTATAAAGTTGTGTATTTAGCCAGTCACTAATCCTTTTTAAAGCTAGTACACAATTTTCAAAAGGTTTTAAAACCACTTAATAAATTTTCATTTAGGCTTTCCTGTTTATTCAAACAGCATAGGTTTATAAAAATGGAGAGGGGAAATAAAAGAACCAGAGTTACACTGAGAGATATTTTGGGGGGAGTGTTTGTCTTTGAAGTATGACTATTAATTATATGTAGGTACATGTACCTGAATATACATCAGTGTATTTTTAAAGGTATTGCAATCAATCTTTGTTCATATTAAAAAGTAGGCTAGATATACATGTACAGTAATCTGCCCCATATTGTACATTCAGCAAACAAGGGTTGGGGTTCAGATAAGGTATGATGTAAAGGTAGACAGATTCTGAAATCAGTCCTAAACAGTCAAATAACTAAGTTGAAACAAAACCTTGCATTAACATTGCAAATGCTATAAGATTGCATTGCACGATAATGAATCTACATGGAAATTAATGTATTATGAATGAAAATAACAAAAGTAGTAAAGTGTCTGTTTGGGTTACAAGAAATGTGGCATAAAAAATACAAGATAACTATTTTTCATTGTCACTTTTCTACCAAACATCAATTTTCCCAAGTACTCCACAGTCCACATACGCAAGTTCCATTTCAGACATATCTATTGATCAGGATCATTTACCTTCAAGAATGATCAGATTTGTTTCATCATTCAATTTACACATCTTAAAAATGACATATTTTTCGAAACTATTTCAAATATATAAGACTATGACAATCAGTGAACGTTAAAATTCCATGAATTTGATACTTGTCATTTGTGTCTCGTGCATGTAGCGTATCATTATGCAAGTTGTAGTAATAAGCTAATGAATGTCTATTTTCATATCAAAGTGTAATTTTAAATTCTAGACGAGATCTCACTTTAAAATCTTGTGTAAACTGAGCATAATGTAAATACTTTTAAGTTTGAAATTTGTTTGATATACATGTAATATAACTATAGTTGTTACACTGTATTGAGATTAGACAACTCTAATATTGACTCAAAACTTGTTAGACTCCTTTAACGACTCCTTCAAAGATTTAAAATGAAGTAAGGATCCTTAGAATTCTCCAACAAGAGAAAGAAATAAAAGTTTTCATTTTGAGTCGATCGTACACGGACAGAACAACATATTATAATGAGACTTGCTGAAGAACTTTCATAGATTCAACAAGTATTAAGTATCGAAGAAATACTTCCCAAACAATGTTTCTTTTTATGAATTAAGCAAAAATATAACTTTAAAAAAAAAACCCTTTGAAATTTTGAAATGGGTAAGATTTGCTAACTAGAACCTTGACGAAGTCCATTGAATTATAGAATGGTCAGGTTGAATAGTTAAAATGAAAATAGGAAAAAGTTTCCAAAATCATAAGAAAACAACTGTTGCGGGTAATGCATAAAAAATGGGTTGTTACTCACATCATAGATTTCCATGAGATCTGGTCACTGGGCCCCATACTAGAATGGCCTAGAATAGAAATGAGCATAGTTCAAATGATGCAATTACAATGACCGGTAGCAAATACCGCAGTCATTTGCATGTGGTCTGGTGACTAGTCATTACAGACTTCCCGGTTACTGGGTCCCATTTTATTATAAGAATAAAAATGGCTTAGGGAACTGGTGACCATAGAGTCCAGTACAAAAGAGCTAGATTTCCTCAATTAATGTTCCCTTTATAACAACTAGTTTTATCAATCTGATGGTAAAATTATTATGGAGCATATAGACATTGTATTATTCATAATTTTGGTCTATTTTTGAAGTAAAAGATGTATTTCTAGCCAATAACGACAACATGTTTAACAGGCTGTGATATTATCGTACTTGAAGTTGGCAAGGTACATTGCAGCAAGGGAAATCTTTCAGGATATAATTTTTTCTGTTCCTTTATGGTACACAAATGTTGGAAATATAAAAGAAAAAGAAAAATACATTTAGTTTACTGTTACTTTAATTTGAAAAAAATCAAAACGTGAATAAAAATTTATGGTTGGATGAAAAAGAAAAGGACGAACCAGTACTTTTATATTGATTGTAGTTTGACATTGTTGTTTTAAAGAACAGTTCATCAAGTTCACATTTTAACTGTAGATAGAAATAGAGTTAGAAGAAGATTAATCATGTGATGAAAGTTCTGGATGATAAACAAGATAAATAGATGTTTTACTCAACATAAAACAAATTATTGATGATTAGACAATCAAAGCGATGCATGTTTTTAAAGTGCCACTTGCAAATTTATTTGTCCAGAATCTGTTGTAATGTTATTGAGCTCTTCTATAAGATTAATCTGTGGTCAAGATGTAATTCTTTTACATCAAAGTAGCTCTTTGATTGAGGTCAAAATGAAGTATTAATTTAGTGCATTGTTTCAATTAGTTGTGGAACAAACTCTAAATGGTTACATTTTGATTCTCAAGAATAAACTGAGGTTCGACTGTTTACTAATTTTAATTTCCTTTTTGGCTTTTAAAAACAGTTGACTATTTATATCTTTATATCTAAACACTACTGGATTAATCTATGGATCTAAAAAATGTCTCTAATAACAAAACAAATCAACACATTATAAAATGCACTCAAATTGATAATATTACTTTTGAACATATTAAAAAGGGAGTGATCATGCATAATAATATCATTTCATGTAATTTTGTGGTTAAGCAGGAAGTCTAGTTTTCTTTTGAATACTGTTTCATTCAGGCATTTTCTTTGGTCTCTAAATGGCATATCTTGAAACCTCTTCAAGAAAATGTTTATGATCATAAGTGATATATTTGGTATGTTTAGAAAATATCAATAAAACATGATTAACATGATATAGATATCAACTGATTACTTCAATTCCTAAATACAAGGTCTTACATGTATAGTAATTTGTATCCTAATGTCAAAACCCAACAAAATCTTGCACATGGTGCAATTTTAATGACATTATGCCAATCTTTATTAGTTTTTAACTTAACGCTAATACAGATTGGTATTAAATTATTCATTGCTCACTTATCTTTCTTATAATGCCATTTACCAATATGTCAATTTATAATGATAAATATTTTCTTGAATTAGCCTCAGCATATACTGGTAAACTTTGAAGAACAAACCTTGGAGCTGAAACAGGATCCGTTCAAAAAGCATTGTACATGTACCAATGAGTGTTAGAACAGCAATGTGCGCTTAAGGAAAACATAACATCAAATTGTACTCAGACCTTCATTTATGCTCCCAGAATCAGATTAAAAACTAAGAATATCCCAAGTTTGAAAGTGTATAGTAAAGTTAATACAAAAGAGCTTGCAAAGAATATCTTCAATGGTCTGTACACATTGGTATCGTATGGAAAATGTTCCTTTACAAGTGGAATTCAAATTAGGCGTAAACACCACTGTACAGACTGTGCTATTGTAAGAATGGAAAACATTTCAGAATGACCACAAATGTTACCTGTTAGTGTAGACTAGACATAAACCAAAATCTATTTATAAAACATAAACACGCTTTTTGACTGATCTGATGGAATTTGTAACATTTTCTTATACTTAACCATATTTTTTTATTCTTTGTTGATGAAATTAAACATACGGTGTATGCAATACTGATAAAGTAGCCCATGGTCCCCAATACATACAACTTGTTACAACCCATTCCCAGACTATGCCCCCTACCCGTATATTCGTTGATTGAATGTAAATATATATCTGTTATTTACGCTGGTATATTGTGTTGTATAGGGTAGACTGTTTACAAGATCTGTGTTGTGGCCAACCATGTTTTATAATAATTGACCCATGGTCCTATGTCTGTCCCTTAGTTCATTAATTAGGTTTATATTGATGATGATCAAGTCTGGACTAAGACTGGATTAATCAATAATTTCTAGCCTTTTCGTAAAGGCCCCACTGTGCGGTTTGATTCACATAATACATGAACACTGAAAAATATACATTTATATATTGAGAAAATTCGCGAAATGTTTTTCTAGTACATGTATGTTGAATAAACCAGTCATTGAAACACATTACATTGTACATGTACTTTGTCACTTTGTATTTATTGAATTTGAATACCCTTAGGATATCCGTTAGGAACAATCAGTTTTGATCTTGTGTTAAAGTAATACAAAATGACTTTCAGTAGTTATTGTTAATGTTCTAAGTAAAGAAGATGCTGTATCAGATGTTCTAGGATTAGTCAATACTAGCAACTTCTTATCATCAAATTATTTGTGGGTTGTTCTTTCTCAGTATTCACACAAAATTAAGGGCATAGACAAACTCAACAATCCAGAATATAACATGGTGTGGGCGGCCGTGGGCCCACTATAAGGCGATTTGTAAATTGTATTATCTTGACAATACCAGACTTTGTCAAATAGCCTTTAAAATATTGACTGATGTCAGAAGTGGTCAGAAGCAGGTGCTGTATTTAAAGATAGAACTGGCCAATCTTCTGTCTACTGTACAGGAGTATGATATATGAATATAAATTACTACCACATCAATGTAAACTACTTCACCGCTGATTAATTTAAACACCTGTCAAAATAAATATTTACAGAAAACATAAACTATATTAGTGATTCTTAACAGGAAAAAATAATCAGAAAGAAATGTGTTGAATTGAGGCTGCATATTGTTCTCTTTCTTCATAATAAATACAGCCCCATGGGCTATAAGGCTATAGTCAGTTACATCCAGATCTCTGTACATGAACTGGATAGTGTTTAAATGAGGGGAACAGACTAAAAATCACCCTGATCCTTTGAAACAACTGAATATTCCCCCACTCCGCTTCTATCCCAACCCTGTAAGGGTACTTCTGTGTTAGCCTAAACAGATATCTGATACTGTCCAGTTTCATTTGGTTGTTTTCAATTTAACTATTGTTCAAATGTAGCGGTTTTGATAGTACATGTAGGATAGTGGCAACTTCAACCTTTGGCATACCATCATTATTTCATGTTCTTTCAACCTGCTACATGTATATGATTAAAAATCAAACTGTTAGTGTGTAACCTGCTGGGTGATAACTTTACGTATAGTATACATGTATGTGAATGTATTATTGAACATCTGTATAAAGATTTATTAGTTAATCAACTGTAATACTGATAATAAATTACATTATAATCTAATACATCAATAGTACATCTGGCTTGTATTTTATTTATTAATATGCATAATACATGGAGATCCAGATAATTCATGTTTACACGTGTGTAGATTTTCTTTTATATCTAATTGAATATTACACTGAATTTATATAACTGAATAAGCATATATATGTGCTAATTTAATTAAGGATCTACATGTAGTCTGCACTGGATTATAGTTGTAATGAATTTGCATTAAGATATTTACATGTAGTATGATAAAATGCATGTATTAGTATTTTATTTGGTTATTTAATGTTATAATATCAATTAATTTTATTGATAAATACCTATAGTTGTTTATTCTGAATGAAACTCTACAATATTGATTGTAAAACTCAATATTAGATTGAGCAACAAGTAAATGATCATGTTTATAATGTTTGCTTTTCTTTTTGTTATAGGGTGTGCTAATGCAGTGGAGATAGCCTTTGACCAACCAAATGATGGCTACTTCTTAAAATCAGCTTATCACAAACTGAAACCAAGCAATCCTACACAAGAACGTGAACTTTTCGTTGTCACCAAAAGAGCAGAACTTCACAAATTACGTGCAAGTCATGGCCCTTTTGAAGTTTACCAGGCTGTGCCTGACGAATACTTGGATAGAAATACAAACACTAAATCACAGAGTCAAATTTTTCATAATTTGGATGTAAGCGTTCATTTGCTTACTGAAGAACTGTTGCCAAAATGGCCGCAACTTCAAGTCTTAATGCACTCTCAGCCAGTGTCGGAACATTTGAAAGTTGACGATTTTCGTGAGACAGTGTTTGATGAAAGGTGGTGTGGACAATTAATAGTACAACATTTGGATCAGCGATTAACAGATGTTTGTATTTTAAACCAAAAAGATAAAAATGCTTGCGTCATGGATATTAGTATACCTATCGAATGGTGGCATCACAATAAGTCTAATATTGATGTGTATTACCAGGTTTCACGGGTTGAGGATAATCACGAATGTGCAAGTGAATCAAATTCTATTGTTCCAGGACGTTCTGATGACTCTAAGGATAAAAATCTTCTTGCTGTTATCCCACTTTCTACAGAGGATCATAGATTCGATGAAAAGGGAGATAATCGACTAATATTTCGAATTCCTAAAACCAAATATTTGCCAGGCAGTCGATTTTTAGTACCTGTTTATTTGGCAGCAAATTCTGAAGTACAGATTGTTGTTGTTCAGTAAGTATCATAATATTTTAAATTATTTAAATAAAAAACATTCTTTCTCAAAATTAGAGAATTACAATCTCCAACAATCCTCGGCCCAGTCTGCTATTGCATACAGCAGCATTGCATGTAGGCCTACTTGTAGTGATGAGTTTTACTCATATTGTATGTTGGTTACATGTATTTCTCTGCAAGTGGCAATCTAATACTTTTAAGACCAAAATTAAAATGATTGAGTCTTTAGTCATAAACTGGTATATGTACATATTGTATCTTGTCAAGTTTCCATTTTATGCATAAGTAAAGTACATGTATGTTCTGTGCATAGGCGTATGAGCTGAGGAGGCTCATCAAATTTTTCGGGCACCGGCTAAATGATAAAAAAAAAAAAAATAGTGGATATAAACAGAAAAATATGAAAATTATTCCATCCTGCAAAATGAAGTGCCCAAAATCCGGGACTTTTACTGACCATTGGATGGGGTAATGCAATTCCTATCCGGAAAATCACACAATTCTGAAAATCTTTTGATTCAGGGTGTCTAGTTCTCAAACTCATGCTGCAGTTCCAGAAAATTTGCTCTGCTAGGTGCTAATTGCAGTTATTTTTCGAGATTTTACTACTATTATCTTGTGATTTTAATCTTATTCATTGTTTTGACCAGTGCGGATTTTATGAATGCCATGCAATTCGCGTTTTGCTCTTATCTCGTCCAATGATGTATGACCCCTGATCACAGCCAGATTACTATTTTGTTCATACGCTGTAGACCAATTTTGATGCAGATTATTGTGATATTACATGTTTAATTTCACTAGAAATGGTGATTGGTGTATTATACTGTATATACGATAATTATTAATTAGGTATGATGATGAATAATACACTATGAGATCAGTCAATGTAAACATTTTTGCAAATTTCACTGATTGTTGATCGGGCGCTATCTAGTAAAGTTATGTAGGTTCATTTTCGGGCATTGTCACCATTTTTTGGAGGCAAAATGATACAGCCCCCCACTCCATCCTTAATGGGCCTGTACGCCTATGGTACTGTGTCCTAATAACCTATATTTGGCCTTTATATGATCAGGATCTTCCAGTTTGAAGTTCAACACATCCGGAATATTATTTTATTAGATAAAAAGGTAGAAAGTAGCTTATGTGGTATTATGGAATTAATGAACACTGTAGGTAGAAGGAAGGTGCTGATAAAAGTCTAATATACTATTCAAAAAAAGTAGGGGATATTTGATTTTGGGGGCATAATACTAAAATATGCAAATGACTACGAAAAAAGTCACTATAGAACCTAACAGAAGAAACATTTCCAGTTACATGTGACGCCCAAACGCACCAATAGCTACCGCATGGAATGCAGGTGATGCTTGGGATCATCATGGGGGTCCAACCCAAGATTTGCACGACTCTGACTTTGAATGTTACAGTCATTGTGGCATTGAATTCCAGGGTGGAAACATCAGTTTAATTGTTTTAGTGACCAGAAAACAAATTTTGATATGCGTCGGCTTACCCAAAATGAAAGGTTACGTGCCCTTGGCATGCTACAGATCGGCACAACACAGGCGGTTGTGGCGCGGACGATGAATGTTTCTCAGTCTGTCATAAGCAGGCTATGGTCCAGATACCGTGATACACAATCTGTACAGGACAGACCACGCTCAGGTCGACCAAGGGCGACAACTCAAGCCCAGGATCGATTTATCCGTACCTTGGCCTTGAGAAATCGTGTCATCACAGCAAATCAGATCAGCGCTCGTCTTCAAACAGACACTGGTGTGAGAGTGAGTGGCCAGACGATTCGGAATCGACTGCATAGGGGTCACCTTCGCGCCCGACGTCCTCGCGTGATCCCTTGTTTGAGAGATCATCACATTCAGGCAAGACGTCGTTGGTGTAGGGATCGTCAACACTGGGATAATCGACGCTGGAGCAATGTGATGTTTTCAGATGAGTCAAGGTTCACTGTTGATTTTTTGGACAGACGTAGGAGGGTGTGGCGTCGTCGAAACGAGCGCTTCCAAGACGTTAACGTCATCAGACATGATCGATTTGGGGGTGGTTCTGTTATGGTGTGGGGAGGCATCACTGTTGCTGGAAGAACGGCTTTACATGTTGTTGCAGGGCGTGTTACAGGCCAGTACTACCGGGACAACATCTTGGCAGTCCATGTTGTGCCGTTCGCACGACGTCATGGCCGCCGTTTCATCTTCCAGGATGACAACGCAAGATGTCACAGGGCCAGGATCGTTACAGGTTACCTCCAACAACAGAACATCACCACATTACCTTGGCCAGCACTGAGTCCCGACCTCTCCCCCATCGAGCATGTCTGGGACATGCTTGGACAGAGGTTACGTCAACGTCAACAACGTCCTGCCAATGTCCAAAAACTTGCTGCTGCGTTGCAAAAGGAATGGGACAATCTGGAGCAAAATGACCTTAGACGTCTCATTAGGAGTATGCCACGTCGGATCAATGCTTGTTTGGCAAACAGAGGAGGATTTACCCGTTACTGACTTGGTTGTGATGCTGTGGTAACTTTGCTGTTTGACCCCGGGTATCATTTTACCCTTATAATGGTCAGTCTGTGCCTTACTTAGTCTAACGATCATTTGGAATAAATCGATGAATGTGAACTTCATTTCATTTTGTCATTTGTTTCTTCGTCAGTTTCATTAGGTGACTTTAATAACACTTAAAAATCAAATATCCCCTACTTTTTTTGAATAGTATATATTTATCCCACACAGCTTTACATGTACATGTACGTTAGAACCCCCAACTTTTGCTGGACAATATCCCTGAAAACAAATATCACGATATTATAAGTATATCACAATATTGTATAGAATGTCAATAATTTTACTTTATGACCCTTTAGCTGTAAATAAACATGCTTAAAAAGTTGGACATGTCTTTTTGGTATTCACTTGACCGATTGTAGTCAACATTATTAAGCAAATTAAGCATAAATACAGTATTTACAAACAAATGTTCAGGTTCAATTCAAACATAGATCTAGCCACTCGCAGACTGCTGGTCTATCGGATGTGCTTGTTTTTTTAGCCATGATTGGAGGCCATTCATTGTTCTTACTAACTCGTTTTTTTCTCATTCAAATGCATGCCATCTTGAAAAAATGAATTTTACAATACACAAGCACTAAATTTCATTGATGCCTGAACAAGCGTTCATTAACTAAGTCAAATAGCAATTTTTTTTTTTATCCCGAACCGCCATATCATGTGCCATAGATAATCAGTCGACTGATAGTTTGGCATTATTTATATTTCTGCTCTATTAAAATTTATTCCAATAAAAAAATTTGTAAAAGGTGCATAGACAATTCTAACAGTACCAGTCGTGTGCTAAAATGAGTGAGAAGTCAGGTGATATAAACAAAACTATAACTTTGTGAAATGAACACTCGGGAGTTTATAACATTATTCATCGCTATTTATTCATCATTAAACAATAAAAATATGGTAAATAACTTAAAAATAAAAACATTTTTTCAATATTTATACTGAATTGCAATCAGAAAAATCAAAACCGCGATATTCTTCTTAGGTCAGTATTTTAGAAGGTTTTTATTATATCACCCAACTCTACCCCAACTCCATTTTACCCCCAGATTTACTTTTTAAACAATTTCCAAAAGAACTTATATTACAATTTTAATGTGTTTTGATGTATAACTAATTTCATTTAAAAGAAAAGAATTGCTTTCGTGAATTACATATTGACGGATTCACTGTATTCCTTTATAGTAAGTACTGTAAAGCCCTAAATTTATGCCCACATTGCAAATGCCTTCATTTTCTGCACATAGCAGGGATTTATTTTCGGTCATCAACCAACTGTGGTATTTGTCTGTCAGTTAATTTAAATGCAATAAAATTAGGCATTTCAAATCATTGAACTTTAAGATGAATGCCCTTTATACAAAAATATACTTTTTAATTCGAGCTCTATGTGTATGCACTGTATTGGTTCTGCAAATGCTATTATCTTTTGACGTCCAGACATGCACTGTGGTAAAGCACCAAACTTATGTTTGTTGGAGTGTAAACAGTCATCATTATTGTTTGCCTGATAGTAGGGGCCACCAGTCAATGCCCTAGGTGTAAAGTGTTTTTAATATGTAGATTGTAGAGGTTCAAATTTTATAAGTCTTATGTTGACCCTTTGTCAATATGAAGTAGACTAATAGGATATAAATGTACTTTACATGTGCTTTACTAGAATATTAGAATTGTTTAATCCCAGAAGGCTTTCAATACTACCTACAGCCTTTATTATCATCAACTACATTTATTTTTTCCTGTAACGATTTGATGTTTTGTTCATCAGGATTCCAACATGTTAATTGAATAATAAAATTTATTTTCTGCCAATACATGAATATCATCAGCATTGAACTAACTTCTTCTTTTATTAGTGTTTAGTGTCCGCTTCCATCAATGTTGATATCGCAGACAAGTTGTCTTATTTTATTTCTGCTAAGCTTAGTGCATGTGCAGGGGTCTTTCGCATGGGATGAAAGACGTCCCTATCTCCAAGCCACATATGCTCACACACAACCGTAAGACAGAGGTGACTGACCAGCTAGAGCTCGAAGTGCAACACTCAAGATCACTCATACTCCTCGCAGTGTTTCGTTTGATTAGACCTAATCCCACTCAAGCACTGCCGTAATGGAAGCAAATTTCTGTTCCAAATTATGCTCATTTTATTTTTTAAATTGCTTTATCATTAACTGTACCGTTAGGAGCAGCATCTTTTGGTTTAGTACAAATAATATCTCTGAAACACTTTTGTTAGGCAAGAACATGATACTAGCATTAGTTTCATTTTACTTTTACAAGGTTTTTAAAACAATTGTGTGTTTCTAATTTCAATTTCTAGTTCCAGCTTTCTGTTATGTTTCGTAAAAAAGTAGTCTTGATTATCCTGGTCTGTCAGTCAGACGTAGAATGGTCGGTAGACTGGTTAAGTGATACTAATTTCAAAACAAGGGCACATAACCTATTTTTTACTCACAAGTGCCCGGATGTTATGGCCGACACTCGTAACCATCTTTCAGTGTATTATTTATAGATGGTTAAATGGTCATAGCTTATTAAGTACAACATGACTGTTTATTTAGTGACTATAAATGTGCGAAACTGATTTAAGGCTCGGTATATATATAAATTTTGTGGTGTAATTGTCGAGATATTTGGAGATATTTATTTATGGTGGGTCACCCTATCATAAGTCCATCCAGCAATGGCCAGAGAGGGATTTCTCAGGTCATTGCTACAGGAATATGAAGACCACTAGGCCATCCCCCCCCACCCCATTGAACCCAGTAGTAGTACATGTACATTGGTCCTTTAACGTCTGCTTACACAAAAGTGATATTGCACCAACTGAAACCATTACGATATGCCCACATTGGAATGTGGTTCGAACAGTTGTATATTGCCAAGTAGCAAGAGACAGACAGTAATTGACATGTAACAAAAACACTTGATTTAATGATATCCAATTCAACAATTCAAATTTATTGGTCAAAGGAAACAATCTTTGCATGCAGAGCTTTTTACCAGGCAACTCATGAATAATATGAAGCTTAACAGTCTGGAAGCAAATTTATTCTTCTTTGTAGAATGTAAGGTTCCAAAGTGGCAAAAAATAAACATAAAAAAGACTCGGCATGAAGAATGAAGAAAGCAATTAAGAAAATAATCACAGATTATGAAAGATTTAGGGGTTTTTTTTTGTTTGATTTTAATATTTAATCAGAAAGAGTATCATAATTCTATATTTCATCATTTAGTAGGCGTAGGATTACTGATCACACATTATTTTATCTACATGGTGTTTAATTATAAATGTTATTTTAAAAAATATAAATACACAACCGTTTGAAGTAGAGTAATTCTAAATCATAAATAATATATGTCTTATTGACATTAGGATTAATATTTTAAACATCTAAGTAATAGAGACTCTTAAAAAACTTGATAAATATGGTGTGGGTTACAGTGGTAGTAAAACAGTTTGTCCATTTGATATCTTTGAAGTTAGTAAGGTTATGAAGGCAGTTTTAAGGTGGTTGTTTGTTCAACTAGATTAGAAAGCTTTGTTAGTCTTCTGGTGGTATTGACGCAGTAAGCAACCCCTCATTCAACCATTCATATGGGTCCATTCAATTGGCTTATAAACTGATCCACGCAGAGAAAGACATGTTTTGTCTATAACATCTTCATTTTTCCTTCCCATATTTATTGTATTCCTTTATTAGATCTCTACAGATCGGTACTCTTGTTCATCAAAAAAATTATCATTTATAATTGTAAATGATGAAGATTGCATTTAGAGTAAACCTGGGTCATCCTGGAAAATACGCAGCACATGATAATTTATTTTTAAAAATAAGACCTACGTGGTAGAGACGAAAGGAAGTTACCATGGCTGTCTTACTAGAATTTTCGAAAGGGTAAACATTTACATGTACCGGGTAGGTGCCAAAAGTTTTGAAAGTGTCTTAAATGTAGATTTGAAGAGCCGTGGTAGGCTTGTGCCCTGAAATTCTTTTGATGTTGAGATACAGTACTGTCAATGAAAGTAAATCATGTCAGTAAATGGGCATGTCTGATAAAAAAAAAATTGTTGGTGGAATAATCTTTAGTATGTGTATAAAATTCCCAGTGTATGTCGGAACATGAAATTACAGTCTCATTTCATCGATTATCTCATCAGTTTTACTAGGTCTAGTACTGTTGAGAAACTGATTGATTGTGTAAACTGTGGTTATAAACCACAAATGTTGCTGTTGGTGTGAAAATAAAATATCTCGTTAGAAAGAGGTTTGTCATATATACATGTAGGTGATGGGCTGTGATATTAGCCTAGGGCAAAACAGTAGAAACCCACTTTAAAATATATGTTAAATCATATGCTGTAAGGAAAATACATGCAATGTACTCTGCCTTTTACTTGAATCAGTTGAATAATTTATAGAAACTTGATGCAAGAGCGAAATCTGCCAACTACAGGTCTGTTTTTCTGGCTTCAAATGTTGTATGAATTATTTACACATTTATTCACATGACAAGCCCATAATTAATTCTTCAGACCATTGGATGGCTGAGAAATTGTATGGATTAGAAAACCTGCGCCATATAATAATTCAACGTTAAAATGAATAATCAAGACTTTGTGATTTATTGTAGCAGTGATACTTGACAATCAATACTATTTATGCCGTATCTTGTCAGAACTTCAAACTCTCATAAAATTTTGCTCTGAATAAAGTAATTTGACTGAAATTTTCAATAAATTCATTTTACTTTATCTATTTTTGAACTATTATAGCAAATAGTACATAAAGCATCTTTAATTTTGTAATATTAGAAAGAGAGATATCGTTTACACTAGTGTTCATATGTCGCTTTATGGCTTTACAAACATACACATTTATAAATGTTCAGATGTGGCTTTACAATACAAACATATACACATTTATAAGACACATGAAAAGTGGTTAATTTAAAACCTTAAAAGAATAAAAAAGATATAAGTAATATAAAAATAACGTTTACTGGCGAATAAATTTAAAGTTATTAAAAGTGGATAAAGAAAAATGATGAAATTTGTTTTACCAAACTTGACAATTTTTTTTTTTTTTCTAGAGCTAAAGTCAAGAATGGATTGAAGATTCGAGGAGCAGCAGTTAAACCAAATAGTCCATGGAGTGTTTATTTTGAAATGAAGGATCGACAAAAGTCAGCCATAGTCACTGCATTTATCAAAAATAAACCCAAGTTTATACAGAGTACAAGGTAAGTCTGTTATTAACATCAATGGATTATTTATTTATTTATATATGTCTGTCTAGACGTACATGTAAAACATGACTATTTTTTACTTCAAGGCACTTTCCTCTTTAAATAATGGGGAGTTGGATGGCGCATACTCATTGTATCATAAGGTCTGTTATCGAGCCAACTGCCGTGGTTTCGATTCCATGGTTGTATTTGACAAGGAGTAGGGTTGCCTGTCCCACCTCGTGGGTTTTGTCCGGGCCTTTTGGTTTCCTCCAACTGCTAAAGACCCCTACGCACAAGCGAATTATAAAATTGAACGATATGTTAGTCCTTAAATCACCTAGTTTGTGTCGAGTGGAGTTAAAACCCCATTTCTCTCTTTCTCTTTTTAAATAATGTTCTCTCTATGTGGACTAATATCCAGAGAAGGCTTTAAGCTGTAAATATTCTGTTAAGATCAAAGTTATTGCATCAAAACGTCCATGGAGGATGAGCAGGCATACAAAATCATTGTAGACAAAATACAAAACATACATTGTTACCAAAGGTTCAAGGCAGAAGAACTTACTGAATGATCACTGATACATCATCGTTATTCATTATGCCTGAATTTATTATATTTGTAGCCAAATAGTATTTAAGTCCAAAGAATAACTGATTCTTGCTTAAATTTTCTTACACATTATTGCATTTCACCCACAATGAGACATGCACATACATCTACTGTACATCTAAGCTTAAACCATGCATCTTATGAGCTAAGTGATAGAAAAACACCATTCTCTCACATTATATGCTTGTGTCTGTTATTAGGATTTCACAATTTATAATCATTCTTAGATGGTTACAAACTCCTATTTGATAAGAAAATTGTCAATATTAGATTACATGTACATCGCATATATAATTTCCATATCATACATGTACATGTACTTGTTTGCTTTTAACTGAAAAGCTAGAAAATCCTAGAGGCTAAAGTTAATATCCGATTGACTTTAAATTTTTATACAGTGTTTAAGGTCATGAGACGAAGCAGCCTATTGATATTCAATGATTTCCGATAATTACTGTCAGAGTTATGGCCCTTGATCACTTTGAAAAATCTTGTAGATGCTCAAGAGTCAAAAGTTAATAACTGATTGACTCTAAATTTATACACAGTGTTTAAGTTCATGAAATGAAGAAGCCTGTCAATTCTCAACAATATCCAATGATTTATATGGAAATTGATATTAAATGTTTTGTATGCTAAATGTTAGAATAAGGCAGAACTAGAAGCCACATGGGCTGTTACTCGTGATCAGATTTTAGTGTGTTGTAAATGTTTTAATTTCTAACAAAAGAAAAAAATGTGCGACAACCCTTGTTGACTCCCCAGACGACTTAGCTGCTGTGGGTGTATGTGTCGTTGCCTGGCAACCTATCTTTTTATGCAGTTGATGTGATAAGTAAAAAAATTTGCAACACAGAAAACTCCAAGTTGTCAGTAAATAAATACACACAGAGTAAAAAGGGAGAAACATTCATTGAAGTGTTTAAAGATCTTAAAATCTAATTTTCTCAATTTACATTTCAAAGACTTGAGTAATCTCGAAACATGCACACTCATAAAAGATTGAAATATAAAAAAAAATCAAAGTAGTGAAAGCAGCTGGTTATATTTATATTTATCTTCCAGTGAAGGTACAGTACATAGGTTGCCATGTTTTACCAGGTCACTGTCTTTGATAGCAAATCGCCATGTAATATTAGAAGAGTACATGTAGGATACCATGTTTTACCAGGTCACTGTCTTTGATAGCAAATCACCATGTAATATAAGAGGAGTACATGTGTATTTTTTTAGAAATTAGGGAAGTTTCAGGTTTTATTGAATAGCTAGTCTTTGATGTGCTCTTTAATCAGATATTCTATCTTGTTTCCAGTCTCCTATCAAAAACATGGCAACACATGTGATAATCATTTAAGCTATATAGGCTGATGAAACATGGCTTCTAAATAAACAACACCAGTAATAAAATGTGGTAGAATTAATTTACGCATCATGTGGTTAGGTAGATGTACCCACACTGAATGAATTTAATTCTGTATTTAGAATTATTATAGAGGCTAATAAATGCTGTGAGTGTCTCCATCTGACAATAAAGATAATCATGTGGCTACAAGTAGTCATGGCTTAGATATGGAATGACTTAGAATACTCTCACCATTTAACAATTTAATGATTAAAGGGAATTTTTAGGCTTCGTTTATTATCCTAGATATGACAAATGAGACTCGGCTATAACATTTATTACTTCCCCAAGAATAAAGTAATTTGACTGAAATTTTCAATATTTTTAACCTATTACAGCAAGACCAGAAGCTGTCTCATGAAAAATTAAATGTTATCTAAATGTTACATAATGCATCTTTAATAAGTGTTATAGTCTACTTTTTGGGTCAGTATTTTAGTTTATTTGTAAATACATGTTCTTAACAACTTCAGTCAATATGTAAAAAATAATTTTGAAGTACATATTATTAACTCCAGAGTCTGGAGTCCAGACTATCATAAAATCTGTACCTTCAAGTTTCTGATACTGCATATTATGAATTTCAAAGTTCTCTTGGAACCAAAATCTCAAGTGTAATTTAAATCCACGCAGTTCTTGTAAACACTTAAAAAAGACTTAAAATATCTTCCGGCATCAATTTATTTGAAGTTTTGTTTATATCTGATATCAGTTGATGTATGTGTTATGAATATATTTTCTTCTGACCTAGTGTGCTCTGTTAAGGCAGTCAACCAACAAACTACATTAGAAAACGTATGTTTAAACATCTCTGTTTGATGCATAAACTTTGCCAGTAAAACTGAATGTCTTTCTGTCTCTGTTTATTGAAGTACATAATATTATTTATTTATATCCAGTATGAGGAATATTGCTCTCTGTAGAATTGCAATTTATGATAGCAAAACTGATGCTTTTAATTTATGGGTATTTTTTAAGAGTGTTTTTTTTTTTATAATTGCATTTTATGGAACCTCTTTGGTTCTGATGAAACCGCTCTAAAAAGCTGAATGTCTGAGCTCCCCAAACTGTACACCAGTTAAATTTAGTTGTGACAAAAGAGCAATGTTTTCTCGACTTACTATCTAAAATTATTTAACATTCATTTAACAAAAAGCATGTGGTTATTACTATGGTTTATTTTAAATTTTGGTCTAGGACGCAATCAGCAGCAGGGAACATAATTTTTAAAAATTATCCAGCAGAAATGTTAGGCTGAAACAAAGCGCAACAGTGCATTTCTATCATCCTCTGCATTTACCATGTTTGATGTAATAACAACACAGGTGCTTGAAAAGTTGTATTGAAAAACGAAAAGTAGCAGGGAACTTACAAATGCCCTCTCACTGTGGCACATGTATGGCCTATTTTACATTTATTGTACAATAGACAAATAAATAGCCAACCAAGCAGATGCTGTGTACAGTATTAAGAGTGGATGCAAGCTTATTACCCCTTAAAGAAAAAACAAATGAATACCTTTTCAACCCTGGTGTTTATTACAACTGACATAGGTTTGTTATTTTGATTACAACAATTTAACATGGCGGTGGAATATCTGCCAAAATTCAAGCAGTGGTCTAAATTGGGGATGGGATGATCATCAGCAAATCATGAGTCGTGTACTATGTCAGTACACTGTATTTGCTGTACATTCCACAAACAAATAATGAATTAAAGCCTTGATATGCCAGAAAGCCAATAATCATTTTACATATTTAAATTTAACAAAAATTAGGGATGAAAAATGTTCCTTAACGGTATTTAGGTGATTGAAACAAAATACCTACACTAGGTTTGGCACCATTTATGAGTCTGATGTTCATGGACAGGCATTCAAAAATAATATTATAGATGGCATCATGAATTCAATAGAAAGTAATGTGAACTTTAGATGGCCATCAGTTACGTTAATATTGATCCATTTTAATAAATTTTTAATCAATATACTTTTTGTTAAGACTGCTTTTAAGTTTTAGTTTGAAAGTCTATCTTTGCCTTTTAGTCTGGAATATTACCAAGTATGAAAGATATATAAAACAGAAATGTTACAGAGGTTTAATTTTTCATGAGACAGCTTCTGGTAAAGTTATGTAATATGTTGGGCAACTGGTATATAGTTCTTTGTTACAATAATAAAATGTTGAATCTAAAAGTCATTTGAATGTAATACGTCAACCAATTAATTTGAAGCAAGTAGATTAGTTGTTAGATAGAAATTAATAGAGTAACAATCTACAAGGTTTATTGTATGATTATAAAGGTGTTTCTATTGACGTTTAAGTAATAAAAGATGTTGATAATAATATCTAGGTGTTGATTAGATGATCAATATTCACCTATTGTCTGTCCCTGTGGGCTTTTATTAGCGCCAGTATTACTTGTTAATAACATCAGATGACTCACTCACGGTCTACAGAATATAACTTCACCGTAAAGGTCCGATATTACTGATAGATATTTCCTTACAAAGAATGTGCCACAAGGGATATGAGTTTACCATACTTTTTGCTTTAAATAGCATATTGGCCCGCATCCACAGTGGTTCTGTTAAAGAACTTGTCAGGAATAATTCATGCTCACATTTAAATCATCTCTTGTATTAAAACATTAAATATTAACTAATTGCAAAGACAATCTAATAATTATTTGTGATGCAAGATGAACATTTACACTGTACTAACTCCATAACAATGTTGACATTATCTGCTTGGTTTGAATAAATTTGTTTAAAATGTTTAATTGCTGGATCATGTTATAAGTTATGATTTATTGTACATGGCATGCAAGAACAAAACCAGAAGACAAACATCTACAGACTTTATTATATCAATACAAATTACGTCTTAAAATGTTTGATTCTGACTCACCAGAGATGCCGAAAGTCAACATAATGAAAGCCTGAAAGGACAAAAACTAAACCAATCTGGTAAATTTTCATCAACAGACCTTAAAGCAATT